TCCGAGCGGGTTGATCGCTCCCGAGGGTGCGGGGGGGACACGGCGCTGCTGGACCCTGGTCCCCTCCCGTGAGCCCCACGCAGGTCACCTGCCCGTGGGTCCCATGGGAGCTGCAGGGCCCGGCTGCTGGACGGCCCCGTGTGGAGCACGGAGGGCAGGTGCCGCAGGGTGGTGTCACCCATGGGTGGCCCTGCCTGGCCCTTGGGGTGTGCGGGGCTGGCATGTGGGGCTGGGTGGGAGCTGTGCCCGTAGATGGGAGCTGCGCCAGCAGAAGGGAACGGTGCCGTGGATGGGAGCTGCACCCGTGGATGGGAGCTGCACGTATAGACGGGATCTGTGTCCATAGATGGGAGCTGCACTGGCGCCAGGGCCAGCAGCAGCCTGAGCCGGCCTGGCCCCGCGCGGGCCGGGAGCTGGTGCTGGTGGCACCGGGAAGGCCCAGGGAGCTGCGGTCCAGTCGGGAAGCCGCTCGTCTCCCTTGGTGGCTCCATCCAGCATCTGCTCTGGCTGCTTCCCGGGTCGTTCCCTTTCCCAGGCCTTGGGAAGGCCCCGCTCCCAGCGGTGCCGCGGGGATCGCACCGGGCAGGAGGCAGCTGGTCCCGTCCAATCTGCGCTGCTCCTTCCTGCCCGGGGGCTCCTGCAGGGATCGCAGCTCCGGGGCTAGACGCGGCCGGGTCCGGCTGGGATCCCCCTCCTGCCCCGTTCCGACCCGCTGCCTCTGTGTCCCCTGTGCCCTTGTGCTGGGGGCCGCGGCCGCAGCGGCTCCCCTTGCGACCCCATCCGTGCCGCCCTCCAGCACGGCTGGTCTCATCCGTCCCCCGGCGCAGGCAGGAGCGCTCGGGGCTGCGGGGCCCTGGCACGCGGAGCTGAATCCCCAGGGAGCTCCCTGGCAATGTGCTGGGATGGGGGGGGTCCATGGGGACCTGAGGGGTCCATGGGCAGCCAAGGGGTCCATGGGGACCTGAGGGGGTTCCATGGGGAGCGGGAGGGTCTGTGGAGTGCACAGATCCGCGAGATGCCCGCGCTGGCAGTGCCGGCATTGCCGGAGCCGAGCGGCGGCAGGCGGAGCTGTGTCCTTGCCGAGCTCCCTGTGCCGTCCGCGGAACCGCCTGGGTCAGCGCCAGCCTCGGGCCCGGCGCTCCCGGCGCCTCCTGTCCCTCCTGGGACCCGGCACCGCGCGGGGGCCTCGGGGACGTCACCTCCGCAGGGGGAGCGGGGACGGGCGCAGGGCTCCCGGCCGCAGCCGGGGCTCGCGGGGCCGGTACCGAGCGGCGCCTCTCCCTGGTGCCGGTGCCAGCTGCGCCCGCCGGCCTCGCCGCGCCTGCGCCCGTGCAGCCGCTGTCCTGCAGCAGCGCCCGGGGAGCCGGGCTCAAAATAGCGCCGAGCATCCCGCCGTGGCGCGGCCTCCTTGTGCGGCGCCGGCCTCCGCTCCGAGCATCCCGCCGTGGAGCGGCCTCCTTGTGCGGCGCCGGCCTCCGCTCCGAGCATCCCGCCGTGGCGCGGCCTCCTTGTGCGGCGCCGGCCTCCGCTCCGAGCATCCCGCCGTGGCGCGGCCTCCTTGTGCGGCGCCGGCCTCCGCTCCCGCGCCTGTTCCCGCCCCACATCATCCTCTCCATGGCACCACATCCCGGTCAGCCCAGCGCACTGGAACCAGTGCTCCCAGCGTGGTGCCGGGAATGGTGCCGGGCGAGCGCCTCTCCATCAGCGCCCCCCAGCTCGGCACCCGCCCCATGGAGCCGCGATCCCTGTCCCAGGAAGGGGAGCGCAGACGGGGGCAGCCTCGGGCTCGGCCCCCGGCATCGCGTTGCGCGCGTTCAGAGCCTTCCCGCTGTCCTACTTCTGGGAATTATGTGATTAGGGGAAAATCTGCAAAAGCGGAGCGGGCTCCAGCAGCCGGATCTGCGAGAGGAGCTGGAAAATGGGAGCTGGGGTAAAAATAGCAGCAGAGGCAGCAAAACCGCCGGCCTCGGCTCCAACCCAGGCGCAGCGGCAGCCCCACGAGCAGCCGGTGCGCCCCGGGGATGCGCCAGGATGCCTCGGGCTCCCCTGCCCCCGGTCCCGGCCCACGGGGTCCCTGCGTGCCCAGACGTGGCAGCGCACGCTAAACACAGGCCAGGAATGCTCAGTTTCCCTTTATGCAAGGGAAAATCCTGCAGTTCCTTTATTTCAGAGCCGTTTCTCTGTTCCCCACCCTGCAGCAGTGCTGGTTTCCTTGACATCCTTCCTGCTCCTGGGGAAGGGGCTGCTTCTGCCTCTGGCCATCCCAGCCCCGCTGCCCTGAGCTGCTAGGGAGCCTGTGCTCACTTGTTGCTGCACCGTGTGCACCGTGAGCCCCGCGCCGAGCGCTGCTCCGTGAGCGCTGCACTGTGAGCACTGCACTGTGAGCCCCGTGCCGAGCGCTGCTCCGTGAGCACTGCACTGTGAGCACTGCACTGTGAGCACTGTACCGTGAGCCCCACGCCGAGCGCTGCTCCGTGAGCACTGCACTGTGAGCACTGCACTGTGAGCCCCACGCCGAGCGCTGCTCCGTGAGCGCTGCACTGTGAGCACTGCTCTGTGAGCACTGTACCGTGAGCCCCACGCCGAGCGCTGCTCCGTGAGCACTGCACCGTGAGCGCTGCACTGTGAGCACTGCACTGTGAGCCCCATGCTGAGCGCTGCTCCGTGAGCACTGCACCGTGAGCACTGCACTGTGAGCCCCATGCCGAGCGCTGCTCCATGAGCGCTGCACTGTGAGCACTGCACCGTGAGCCCCGTGCCGAGCGCTGCTCCGTGAGCACTGCACCGTGAGCACTGCACCGTGAGCCCCATGCTGAGTGCTGCTCCGTGAGCACTGCACTGTGAGCACTGCACCGTGAGCACTGCACTGAGCCCCATGCTGAGTGCTGCTCCGTAAGCACTGCACTGTGAGCACTGCACTGAGCCCCATGCTGAGTGCTGCACCGTGAGCACTGCACTGTGAGCACTGCACTGAGCCCCACGCCGAGCGCTGCACCGTGAGCACTGCACCGTGAGCACTGCACTGTGAGCCCCGTGCCGAGCGCTGCTCCGTGAGCACTGCACTGTGAGCACTGCACCGTGAGCACTGCACCGTGAGCCCCATGCTGAGTGCTGCTCCGTGAGCGCTGCACCGTGAGCACTGCTCTGTGAGCACTGCATCGTGAGCCCCATGCCGAGCGCTGCTCCGTGAGCACTGCACCGTGAGCACTGCGCCGTGAGCACTGTACCGTGAGCACAGTGCTGAGCGCTGCTCCATGAGCACCACGCAGTGAGCACTGGGCCAAGAGCACTGTGCCATGAGCCCCGTGCCGAGCACTGCTCCATGAGCACTAGGCCATGATCCCCGCGCCGAGCACTGCGCTGTGAGCACGGGGCCATGAGCACTGCACCGAGTGCTGCTCCATGAGCACCGTGCCATGAGCTCTGTGCTGTGAGCACTGCGTTGTGAGCCC